GGTCCTGAGCAGGTGTCTTTACCATCAACCTTAGGTAAGGTTGAGTGTGAGTGTGTGAGAGTGTGAGTGTGTCCTCTGGGTCAAGGTCAGCAGCATGACCCCATCACTTCAGCGCCTCTGGACTGGTCAGGTCCCTGTTTGGAATCTTCTTCCCAGGTGTCTGCATGACTTGGTGCGTGTGCCCCCCCCCTCCCCCAGACACACACACTGCCCTCAGACCCCTGCTCACATTCAGGGATGTCTTTGCCCCTTCCCTGGCCACCTCCTCTAGAGACCCTGGGTCTTCCCCTGTGACCTTTCCCTGCCTGCTCCCTCCCTGGCTCTTGTCCACACCCGACCTCACATTGGAGATCTCTCTGCTCATCTGTCTTTCTCTCATTAGAATGTGAGCTCTGTGAGGGGGGGACTTGTCTGTATTGTCCCCCAGAGCCTGGGACAGGCTGCAGACACCTGCGAGTACATTAATGAGTGTTCCCAGGGCCATCCATGTCCTGGTGTCCATTCTCCAATTCTGAGATTGGTGGCTCAGGACAATGTTGATGGCCTGGTGATGTTTTACGGTGAGTGTCACCCCCGTATAGTCATTATTATAATCTTTCACACTGGAGTAGCCAGTGATAATTCACCAGCAACACAGAAGACTTGAGCTCCTCCTGCTCCTTAGCAATTCTAGTTCCCTGAGGACTTTTGTTCCTGAGCCCCTCTCCTTCCTATCAGGCTCCCGAAGAAGCCCCCTGTCTTTCATAGAGCCCCATCCTCCCTAGAAGACCCCAGCCAGTGTCTCCTCCTTCCTCCCACCCCTGACCCAGGACATCACCCCTCTCACCTATGAGCAGGATGTCATGCCAGGGCCCGAACCCTCTGCAGGGAGGAGCTAACGGGGGCTCCATGGTCCCTGCTGCCTTCTCTGTCCTTCCCTGTGCGGAAGAGCTTTGGCTCCAGGAACGCTCCTGGGCACGGCTGCTCGGACTGGTCAGCTCTGCTGTCCTTCCTCCCTCTGTGCTGAGCACCCCTTAGGGCAGGGGCACTTTCAAAGGTCTTGGGGCTGGGGCAGGGTGTGTGCCCAGGACACCTCCCTGTCCCCTCCCGTCTCAGTCCGGCTTCCTTGTCCCTCCTTCAACTTTCCCTCTGCCCTCATTTTGCTTTTCCAGACCACGCTTTGAGAAGCAAGGCTGTTAGACTCTGTCGCGTGACAGGATGACTCAGTAGAGACCTCTGCTTTGTCCCAGCCTTGAGTCTGTCAGCACCACACAGAGAAGCTCTGGAGTCACCAAACCAAGTGGGTTATTTCCCTGTGTGACACAGAAACCCACCCAGGCCTGGGTCTTCCTGTGTTCTCCAGTGCTCTCAGAAGTGGAGTGATGCCCAATAGGCAGGTGGCGGGGATGGCTCTGGAGTCCTGAAAGGCAGCTGAGTGATGACTGGGGAGGAACCTGCCCCTGTCCTGTGTCTCCAGAGTCACCAGCCTGGCCTCTGACCTAGGGACAGAGCCCCACCCTTGGGGTCTAAGGAGGGGCTGAAGCTCCGAGATGTGGAGGGAGCAGTGTCCTTGTATCCTGGGAATACAGGACTGTGTTGCCAGGAGGTTGAGGGACCCTGAGCTCTGCTGTTCTCAAGGGAGGGGCTCAAGGAGACCTTCTCTCTCTGTGTCTGGTGCCTGAGCTGTGGCTCAGGGTCTGTCCCCGTTCTCCCTAACTGTTCTGGGCGGCCTCTGCTCTCTGCCTGGCTGACCCTCCTGCCATCACCCTGCCTTCCCCATGGTGGGTGCCATTAGGGAGTGGGGAGTTATCCAGCACCCCTGGGAGATCAGAGCCCTCAGAGTCTTCTGGAAAAATGAGGCAGGACACAGCAATCATGTGGGAGGGACCAGAAGGGTCTGCTGAGCAAGGGATGGAAATCAGGCTGCATTTCCACCTTCTCAGCCAAAGCCAGGCTCATGTCTGGGGGAATTACAGTTAACCTTTAATGACATGGTTTGAACTATGTCGGTCCACTCATATTTTTTCAGTAAAAGTCACACTGTGCACGCCACCTCTCCTGTCTCCCTTTCTGCCTCCTCCAACTCTTCCCTCTCAGCCACCCATGAGACAGCAGCCCCTCCTGTTCTTCCTCCTCTCCTTACTCAATGTGAAGACCAGGACGGGGGCTTTCATGATGACCCACTTCACTTAATGAATAGTAAATTTATTTCCTTCTTTTTTCTTTTTTGGCCGTGGCCAGGTTTGAACCTGCCACCTCTGGTATATGGGGCCAGCACTCTACTCCTTTGAGCCACAGGCGCCACCTATTTCCTCTTTTTCCATGACTTTCTTAATAACATTTTTCTTTCTGTAGCTTACTTTATTGTAAGAACACAGTGTGTAATACATATAACATACGAAAGATGTGTTAATGTACTGTGTATGTTATTGGTAAGACTGATTTATAGTTACATTTTGGAGAAGTTGAAATTATATGTGGATTTTCACAACATGGGGGAAGTGTCATCACCCCTAAGTCTACATCGTTCAAGAGTCACCTGTAACTTTCCTTAGTGTTGTCTGTGTCTGATGTCACCTCCTGGAGGAAGTGAGGAGACCTGCAGCCAATGTCAGGGGCTGGCCCAGGGAGGCTGACCAAGCTCCAAAGGTTGTGAGCTGGCCCTGACCCCTGGACAGAGTCAGGCACTGACCTCTGGGTCAGAGCATGGGGTCAGGTCACCCTGAGTCCTGTTTACTGGGAGTCCCCAGGCTGCCTAACTCCATCCAGTGTAGGGGGAGTCCAGTGGGACGACGGGAGTTGTCTAGAGGAGTCCCCGTCAAGTGTCGGGAGAACTGTCCACCAGGGGCATGGATGGTCTCAGAAGGAGCTTGACCCCGGGGTTTCACAGGAGGTGTCTAGGGAGATGCCTCTGGAGGCCGATGGAGAGGAAACTGCGTTGGGAGGTGGTCCCCAGAGTGCCCTGTGTTTCCCCATCTCAGCACTGGGGTGTTGCCTCAAAGGCATGTGCCCCTGTCTGTCACCTGCTCCAGGTCCCCCCCCACAAGACCCAAGAACTGGGACAGTTCTACCTGGACGCTTGGTCAGGGGAGCCCAGAGTTCCTCTGTTAGGGGAAGGGAGGCCTTGCACACCCTCAGCCCCTCTGAGATGGAGCAAAGGGAGATCCTGGGTTCTGCTATCCTATCCTGCCTGGGATGCTCCACTGGTTCCCAGGACTCCCTGGGCTGGGGAGATGTCTACAGGAGACCAGGTCTAGGTGTCCTCACACACCAGAGATCTTTGGGACTGGGGAGTCACGTCCTGACTTCTTGTCATCAGATGGCACTCTGTCATCCCCTAGTGGCCACTGCATGTGGGATGGAGGATCTGAGTTTGTGGTGGGTCTTTGTGAGAGGAGGGACACAGGCTGGCTGCCCAGGCCCTCCTGGGAAACAAGTCGCCCACATGTTAGAAGTGGGGAGGGGGTGTCAGTGTTCTAGGAATGAGTGTGTCCTGACTCTCACTGTTAGGAGGCCCCTGTCCTCCTTTCTGATGCTCTGAGGGTAAAAACTCATCCCTGGGGTTGGTGCCTGTGGCTCAAAGGAGTAGGGCGCCAGCCTCATATATCGGAAGTGGCAGGTTCAAACCCAGCCCCAGCCAAAAACTGAAAAAAAAAAGCTCATCCCTGGGACAAATGCAATCATTCTCTGGCCTCTTCTCAGGTCAGTGCCAGCACCATGTCCACCTGGAAGTTTCAGTGACCTCAGGGATCCCACGGAGATGAAGTGCTCCTGTGGTGTGGTCCCCGTCCATTTAATGCAGGTTTATTGAGCATCTGTCAGTGTCGGCACTGAGCTGAACCCTGGGAATTCCGCAGAGAGCAGGACAGATGTGGTCCCTGCGGTCCTGGGGTTTCCTGCGCGGGAGAGACAGCTGCTCAGGGACCAGCGTGGGACTAAGGAGTTAATTACAAAGAAAGGCAGGCTAGACCTGTCTGGGGTACCCAGCTCAGGTGAAGGGCTGAGCTGCTCTGGGTATCCCAGAGCGCTTGCGGGAAGGTGCCCAGTTGGTTGAGACCTGGGCGCCACCCAGGGGGACACAGGTGGGGAGCACAGTGGACTGAGGCGCCGCTGGTGAGGGTCAGATATTGCAGGACTGAGAGCGGTGCTAGGGAGGTCAGCGCCTCAGGCTCCAGGCTGAGGACGCCACCGCCCCCTGGTGGACAGTGGAGAAAGTGTAGCGGACAGAGACACCATGCCAGGTTGCCTGTTTTGTTCAACATCCTCGTGTAGATATTTTCCACTGGTCTGGCCTAGAGCACGTCAAAGCTGTCAGGCGCGGTGGCTTACACCTAGATTCCTAGCACTCTGAGAAGCCGAGGTGGGAGGATTTATTGCAATCAGGAGTTGGAGAGTAAGAGTGAGACCCCACACCTAGAAAAAATAGAGAATTAGCCAGGTATGGTTATGCATGTCTGTAGTCCAAGCTACTCAGGAGGCTGAGGTAAGAGGATCACTTGAGTCCATGAACTTGAGGTTGCCATGAGCCATGCTGATGCCGCCACTGCCCTCTAGCCAGGGCAACAGAGCAAGGTCCTATCTCAAAACAAAACAAATCACTTTCTTGTTAGTGTAGTGGTGAATATACCCATCAAAACAAAGAAGCAAACAACAACAACAAAAAAGCCCCAAGACAACAACAACAAAAAATAACGCCATCAGGTTCCAGCTCTGTGAGTCCTAATCCGTCTGTATTTGTCTGCAGCAGGTTGTACTCTGCATGCTCCCAGGGCCGGTGATGTCTGGGACTAGGCGATGGAGGGTCTGGGAGTGGAAGAAGGAAGGGTAGGAGGGGAAGGTAAGTGTCAAGGGAGCAGAGGGGGGAGGAGGGACAAGGAAACTTCACTTCTCACTCCCAGGGGTCAGAACAGGGGGCCCCGACTCTGGGGACACAGCCCCACACACTTCATGTCCCTGGGGCAGGGGAGAGGGGAGCTGCTTCCTCTCCTGTTCATCTGGACCTGTCCTCACCTGCTGAGATGGCGCCACACTCACAGCCCCACACTGGGCTCCTCCCCACAGAGCCTGTGTCCTTCTCCTCTCTCCTGCCCATGCCTGGGTTTTCTTTCCTGCACCCCCTTCTCCTGGCCTCTGCTGCTACCTAAGCAGTGCCCTCACCTGCTCCCATTCCAGGCAGCTGTCCCTGTGGTCGCTGCCCCCTCCCAATCTCTGGCCTCACTGACCTCTCTGCCTTTGTTCTGAACCCTGATCCCTGTGAGGAGGGGGAAGGTGAAGGAGAGATAGGTGCTGTCTACAGTGCTGCGCTCTCTGTACAACCTGAGTGAGAGGCTCTCTGATGTGTCACCAGGGAGGAAGCCGCAGGAGGGATCTGTGTCTCAGGGGTGCCTGGATCACAGGGGGTTCTGGTCCAGGGTGGGCTGGACCTGTGAGCTGCAGGGAACCAGCTTCTCCAGCTCTGGGTTCCTCTCAGTTAGGTGATTCTCCTGCATTGTCCTCCTCACAATATCCAGACAGAGCTATGTGTGGAGACTTACTGGAGGGTCCTAGGTCCTCACACAGAGTGTCCAGGGAACAGACCCATTATCTCCCTTTTCTGAACCCCACAACAAGATCTGAATAGTGGGCAGGGTCAGGTAGAATCAGAATCCATGGGTGGGGTGTGTGTCCCGGGAGTGCTGTGGTCTGTGCCTCCAGCTTAACTCCCAGTCTCTTTGCAGATACATTTACTTTGTGCATCTGCGGGTGGCTGGTCAGTCTTGTGTCCCTTAATCCTTGGATCTCTTACAGAAGGTCATGAGGGATCTGTTGTTTGTATGTGAGTATGATGAGGATTCTGATCAGGGTGAATGTATTTCATTGGTGACTTTTCCTTTCCCAAAGATTTTTCTAGATGTGGTAAAATATATAAAACAATGAGGCAGAGTCCCACCATTATCATTTTTCATGTTTATCCAGCTGTCCCAGCACCATTTGAAGAGACTATTCTTTCCTCATTGAGTTATGTGGTATCCATGTCAAAGATCAATCTACCAT